ACTTCACACACACATGGTACATCATGTCACAATTAGATATGTGCATTTGTTTCATGATCTGCTTAACAATAGCGGAATGATGGCCATTTTAAGGCCGAAAATGCATCAAAATCACGTATTTTCACAATTCCAGAACCGGATCTCAGTCATGCATGGATGGATTTTGTTCAGATTTAGCACAATGTGTTGTACATATGCAGGTGCATTTCGGTCATGATCTGCTTTGAATGTATATGTCACTCAAATATGAACGGAACGGGGACGTGTCATTGACAATGACTTGTCTGTTTTTGGCAGTCTCATTTTATTCATCAACCATAGCTACAAAGTATAGTAACAAAACTGAATAGAAATGATGAAATTGATAAAAAACACTTAGACGAATAGATTAGTAATATGATGATGATTTATCTCTTGGGAGAATAAAGCAGTTTACATCAGACTCAAAAGTGAATCAAGGTTGTCAGTTTTTCTTTCTTTCAATTTAATTATATGGTGATATATTAAGGTGTTAGTATAACTATATAAACTATTTAAACAAATATTAAGGTGTTAGTAAAACTATATAAACAAAACAGCTTGGTTATATTGTATTTGCTTTATTTGAAGTGCACATAACCAAAAAGTGCATTTATGGTTTGCCCTGTCATTAAATATGAATTGTTGAACATAAACACATCACGGTCGTTTACATATGTGCATGTACTACTAATAGAGACAATATGGTATACTGTTTTTGTTCTTTTAGTAGTGTATATGCTTACGTAAATTGGAGGTGTTTCTGTTGTAAAAATGTGATTATTGGTTTATATGCGCTTATATTGGAGACCTCCTAATAGAGTAAATACAGTATAAATACAAATCTATAAACTGAACAGTTTTATTGAGTTATGAATCAGTGAGTCTAAATGGTTCAGCGTTAGTTTGATAAACTGAATTTCATTTAAAACACAATTCTGTGCTACTAATTGAGAAAATACGCCCTACGACTTTATGAATATTAATTCCCTTCATGAAGTCGCACTATAGAGGGTGCTAATTATGTGTACCTTGTCAATATTCCAATCTATCATGGTATTGACTTGTGTGTATATAATACAGAAACACAAGCATGTAAAATGGTTAAGACCTTAAAATTGAAGTTTTCCAGAATATGGTAACATATTACATTACTATAATTTTCAAGAGACAAATGTTTAATGAGTGATTTTCTTGGAAAATATATATTCTGTCTGGATTTTTCAAAGAATGTGAGACGCTAAATGATTCTTTTGATTAAATTACCAAATTGCTTAAAACATTGCTTTTAAAAAATGTTATTACACAAAGTAAAAAAAAGTGAAAGATTTTCTATATTGATAGCATGGGGGCGCTGTCATCACATGAGGGCATGTTTTGGATGTCAGATAGACATGACACAGTTGCACTCAAGTTAAATAATATAAGGGATTGTCTTTATCAGTTACTTTATTTAATAGTTTAATTTATCTTCTTTGTATTATTCTTCAGATAAAAAGCATCGCCACCAAGCCATTAACCATGTTAGCTCTACAGGCTCACTTCAAAAGTATAGTTCCTGTTCTACAATTTTTATAGACGATAGTACTGTTAGTCAGCCGAATCTTAAGTCCACCATAAAATGGTAAGCTTCATTGGATTTTACGGGGTATTCAATGGTAAATGTTTTTGTGTTTGTTCTATTAGATACACATCCTTAATAGAAGCACACTTATTCTTTTCGCCACCAGTTCCCTCACAAAATAGTCCCATTTATAGTCTGCACTTTCCTTCAGAAGATGGGAACAAAAATAGCCACATTTTTTGAGTAAAAACTGAAAATTGAATGAAATCTTGTCTGTTGGCTTCAAAATTAGGGTTCATTTCCAGAAATATTAACAAAATACAAGAAAAAAGTGCAGACAAATTTGGGTGGGAAAGTCTGTTAGTGAAAAGGTTGAAACCAATTGTATACTATATCATTAAAATATGACTTGTTTTGATCATATGACATGTTCTAATAGTGTAAATATGGTTTGTATACTGGATTTGTTGTTTTAACTATAAGGTAATGTTCTTTTCTCTCTGCAGCGTGGCACTTGCCATTTATTTTCATATCAAAAACAGAGAATCAGAATTAAGATTATTAGACATTTTTGACGAGAGGTTACATCCGTTAACAGTAAGTCCAATTCACTATCAGAAACTTGTTTGTTCAGTGTACCAGGCAGTACAATAAGGCAACCACGTAGTGACCAAATGCTAACCAGACTTCAATAGATTTCGTAGGATTGTCGGACAAATATGATTCTGAATTCTGAATTTGTTGTGATGACCGAATACAGATAGTTACCCTGCTGAATAGTTCCGAAGAGCCTTACTGTACAGTACATTTGTTTTATGACATCGCATTAATTTACCAAGAGGTTGTTTTAAATAAATGTATCTATATACTAACTGTCTCAGGCTTGCAGTTGCAATAACTAATTTTTTTCTGGTTACAGCGTGACAGTGTTACAGATGACTATGATAGACACGATCCGGAACATAAGCATATCTATAAATTTTTAAGAACCTTATTTAATGCGGCTCAGCTTACGGCAGAATGTGCGATTGTTACTTTAGTAAGTTTATCATCCCTTCTTTCGTAGTCGATGGTATGTTATATTGTCAAAAATAATGTAAAAGGTTAATGTCTCTCGTATACAAAAATAATCGCGTGAAGTACCACATTTTACATGACCTCAAATATATTAACTGAACAAGGACATGTACAAATAAAAAAAGAGTGCAGTAGATTTGGTATAGCTTACGGTACGATAACTGGTGACGTAATTTTTAAATGCAATTGAACCTTAAGTACTTTATACTGAAACTGACTGCACGGCTATGCTGTCAGCTCGGGTATGTTGATCAAAGTTTAACCCGCGGTCACACACTAAACAGTTCATTACCATAGCAACCCTCTTTTTTCATGCTTTGAGTGTTGATTTTGTAATTATTATTATATCCGATTGTACTGTAATTATGCAAACTTGTATACAATATTGTATTACGCTGAATATTTCAACATCATCGACTTTATACTGTGTAAAAGACATTTCAACACAATGTTCTACTCTGAAAGAAAGACATTTCAACATTAAGGTAGAAGCCTACTCATAAATTAAAATATCCAGAATTTGCATTAAACTGTACTCCAAGGCAATATAAGAATATTGACTTAAAAAAATTTGGGGTCACCAGAGAAATTGATGGTTGTAATTTAGTGGAAAGTCGCCATTTTGACACTATTATAATGCTTTTACCATAGATTCCTATGGCAGAGATATTATGCAATATCTCAAAATCTAGCCTGGTGACACAAGGTGATAAAATTATATATTGTTAATGAATGAGTATTTTTTGTAGTTCCAAATTATTTAAAAAATCTGGGTTTTAAAAAGTGTAAAAAAATGCAATTTTTCTTTAACATTATGTTCCATAGAATTGTTCTAAAAATAACAATTTTCAAATTTCTCAAAAAACTCAACTGTAACACACAATAATGCTATTTCATTGTACCATGGCACATTAGCTTCATGATTGTACATAATAAACAAATTAACATTGTCATGGGTTTTATGACCAATTTTGTCAATTTAGTAGGCTTCCACCTTAAGCTATATATAAAAAAAAACACACTTTAAAATCAAACCATTTAATTTTTGCGGCTGATTTTCTTCACACGCTCTTCACGCGTTACCCAGGAAATGACTAATTTATGTGATGTTGTATTTCTACAGGTGTATTTAGAAAGACTTCTAACTTATGCAGAAATTGACATATGTCCAGCAAACTGGAAGCGAATAGTCTTGGGTGCGGTATTGCTAGCGTCTAAAGTCTGGGATGACCAGGCGGTCTGGAACGTGGACTATTGTCAGATACTAAAAGATATTACTGTAGAAGACATGTAAGTATAAAGGCGATTTACTACAACGATTTTAATACTGTAAACCGCTTTAATATCGCGAGAGACCGCTTTTTGTGAATTTCGTAATTCAGGTGGAAATTGTAAAATTTTGTCCTAGTGAAAGTCAATGACTTTTGCAAAACATTGTCTTATGCGTTAAAATCTTGAAATCATGAAAGATGATTACCTTGTTCTTGACCGAGATACTTGTCCTGTTCATAAGAAAGACCATTATTTTCTGTATGTACAATTGTGATCATTACAAACTTGATTCCTTCTATTCTGTGAGTCTGCTTTCAACTATTACATTTCATATGGTGATCAGCCTAATTTATCGTAGTGGGACTACAAATCATGTTTACCCAATGAATGTTTTCTACTTTTGAATTGAATCTGCTTGATTGTAATGACAGGGTCCACAGCGTTGGGAAAATCCTTTGAAAGTCTTCGGATTTTTTTAAGGTCTGGAGAGTCTTTAAGTTGTTTTTAAATTACAGGAAAAATAAAAAAAATCTTTGAAAAGTCTTTAAATTTCTTCATAGTTATTAATTCATTTTAGAAAGGTTTTCTCCAGGGAACTACTATATCATCAGAACTTTGATGAGCTTTGGTGATGATGTTGGCCTGAATTAAAGGCCCAATTCACTTGCCCCGGGCAAGTGTGAATTGGAGGTGTGGCTATGCTAATGAGTGTTGTTAATCACTTGCATAGCCTATGACGCACCCTGTTTCAGCGGTCCAACATCACGTGACTTTGATTGACAGTAGTAATTATTCAAGATTAGTCGCGCATCCCTTTCCCTGGTTCATGTTTTTTACTTTTATCCGCCAAAATCTCAGCTCGTACACTATTTATTGTCATAAATACTACACACAGTCACTGCTGTGATATTCATAGTCACATGCATCCACTTTGGCGCGACATAATAGACATGTAAGTTCGAGAAAACACGTTTTTACTGGAGCTTGGCTGGAGCTGTTTACTACAGCGTAACAAGCAAGGAAATAATCCCTATTGTTTAGGAGCGTATTTATAGTATACCTGGGCCTTTAAGGGTCAAAATGTCTTGGGGGGGGGAATACAAGAAAGTTTGGGAAAAGGTCTGGAAAAGTCTTGGAAATCATTTGGCTCTAGGTGCTATGGACTCTGACACCTGGCATGTAAATACATCTTGCTGTGTAAATATGATGTGAATTTCTTTTCATTTTTCACAGGAATGAGTTAGAACGAAAGTTCTTGGAGATGTTACAGTTCAACATAAATGTGCCGTCTAGTGTATACGCCAAGTACTATTTTGATCTCAGGTCCTTAGCAGACGCTCATGATCTAACCTTTCCTAGTGAACCACTCAGCAAAGAACGGGCGCAGAAGTTAGAGGTGAGTACTTTGAAGAAGAAGGTAAACAGATGCGGCAGGGGAATAAAATTATGTTTAGCTCTGTTATGGTACAGGACGTCAAACCTGTTCACATTATGTGTGCGTGTGGATACACAGTGACTTGTTGCCCATTTGGTCAAAATTATTGAATCAAACTAGAAATTACACAGAAAATGTTGGTGCTCAAAGAATTAAAGTGAGCTTATTCAGATTTGTTTATTTTGTGACAATTATCTTTATTAGTCCCCGTTCGGACACAGTCCGAAAACAGGGACTTATGTTTTGACCTTCGTGTGTCCGTGCGTGCGTGCGTCTGTGCGTGCATCCGGACCTGTATCTTAGAAATGCCTGGACCAATCACAATCAAACTTCACACATACATCATACATGATATTATACATATGCATGACAATTTGTTTCTTGATCTGATTCAAGATGGCCGAATGGCGGCCATTTTTGTGCTAAAAATCATCAAAATAAAGCATTTCTCGGCTGTTTACAGATAGATTTTGTTCAAACTTGGTATATACATTAGACATTATAGGACCTTGATCCACATTATTTTGTTTTATGATCTGATTCAAGATGGCCGAATGGCGGCCATTTTTGTGCTAAAAATCATCAAAATCAAGCATTTCTCATCTGTTTACAGATGGATTTTGTTCAAACTTGGTATATACATTAGACATTATAGGACCTTGATGCACACCATTTTTTTTTACGATCTGATTAAAGATGGCCGAATGGCGGCCATTTTTGTGCTAAAAAATCAAGCATTTCTCGGCTGTTTACAGATGGTTTTTGTTCAAACTTGGTATATACATTAGACATTATGGGACCTTGATGCGAATAATTTTGTTTTTAAAATAAGATTAAAAATGGCCGACTGGCGGCCATTTTGTTTTAATGAATATGGTTCTCGTGCCATATCTCTGACTTGCTTTCACTGATTATGTTCAAATTTTAAATATTCATTATACATCATGTCATAGATAGACAGATATATTGGTTTGACGATCCTATTCAAAATGGCCAAATGGTGGCCATTTTTGTGCTAAAAAATCATCAAATATCAAGCATTTATGGATGGATTTCGTTCAAACTTGGTACATATATTAGACATTACAGGTTCCTGATGCACATCATTTATTTTTCAGATCGGATTTAAAATGGCTGTCTGGCGGCCATTTTGTTTTAATGAATGGGCTTCTAGACCCATATCTCCGACTTGTTTTGACTGATTATATTCAAATTTTAAATATTCATTATACATCATGTCATAGATAAACAGATATATTGTTTGATGATCCTATTCAAAATGACCGAATGGTGGTCATTTTTGTGCTAAAAAATCATCAAATATCAAGCATTTCTGGCATTTTGGATGGATTTCGTTCAAACTTGGTAGATACATTAGACATTACAGGTTCCTGACGCACGTCATTTTATTTTTCAGATTGGATTCAAAATGGTTGACTGGCGACCATTTTGTTTAAATGATTGGGTTTCTAGAGCCATATCTCTTAAATGCTTTGACTGATTATATTCAAATTTTATATATTCGATATACATCATGTTATATATATATATACATGTATTCAAAATGACTGATTTTGAATGCTGTTCCAGAGCAATATCTCTCAATATGGACAAGTACTTGTTTGACGATCAGATACAAATGTCAATCATTTTAATGTAAAAAATCATATTCCTGACATGGTTATATTCCAGCTATATTACTTTAAACAACACTATATATCTTAAATTTGATAACTAACGGGGACTGTGCCCATGCATGGCTTGTTAAACTCATATTTTAGTGATTTTTGTTTGATGTCTTTCGAAAACTGCTATTCAGATTGCTTTGACATGTGGTGCCTTGTAGTCACATTTGTTCATTTCAGGTCTGCGTCTACAGTTCTTTATATATGCATTGTCGATAATGGTCATGAAGGCAATATGTATTGAATACCTTGTCTGTCTGGCATTGATCTTGTCGTTAACAATTTCTTCTGTCAAATGGTGTCAAATCTTTCCCAATCTTTCCCAAACTTCGTTATATTATCAATCATTTTTACCTTGCCCGTACCATCAAAGATGGAAGGGAAAGGTATAATAAGGGAAAGATTTTGTCCGGCGTTGTCGTCGTTGTCGTCGTTAATAATTGTTATTGTGTGCATGATAACTTTACTAATTCTATTCCAAACTTCATCAAACTTGGTCACCTTGTTCATCAGTATAAAGTCTTCCCTGAGTTTGAACAACAGGTGTCCTGTATGAAAATATCATGCAAAAATTGAGAAAAACTGATAAAATATTTCGACTGTTTCTACTTGGCTGATCACTGGTGATACACATCAAAGGTCACTGATCTCAGTGGAAATATGCATTGTTGTATGTGTTCAATGAAGCAAATGATTTATCTTGTAATAATATCCTTGGTAATGTATCTCAGAATCCCTTACTGGGTTTCAAAACCAACTCATGGAGAGATTGCACAGTCTGATACACATTTGCAAACCTACCAATAAATCTTTACAGAAAACAAGATGTCAGAAAATCAATATATGCACTCCTATGAACTGGGTGCCAAACTTTGATCAAGATCTGAAGCTAATAGAAAATCTGTTTAGTTCAAAGTTATCAATCAAAAACATACATAAAAAATACTAAAA